TGCGTTGACACTAGGAGGAAGGCAGAATGGGAAACACCACAAAGATAGAAATAAGAAAGCCAAATAGTATTTCAAGCATTACTGGTAGAAAGAGGCCAAGAGCTAAAAGGGAAGAAGTAAGGGACAAAGTCCAACACACAGGCTGGAGCAGAGTTGTAAAGGAGATGGGAGATAAAAGAAGACACTAACTTAATTTTTTGTGAGAAGAAGGTATTACTGCTGTGTATTGTCTGTAAAAAGAGTAAGCTGGTCCAGCCTCTTACCCTACTGAGAGAATGGTTGGAGCAACCCCTCTCCCTCCCAGAGTAGCTGCTTACTGTTATCTGAAAATAAACATCCTGATATTCTATTTTGACTGAAGAAGCATTTGTAGAATTAGCTTTCTAAAATTGTCTCCAGTAAACACTGTGCAACATGAGAAAAAAATCTTGACTTGCACACATATAAAACATAGTGACTAAAAGCTAGACAACCTGGGATCAAGAAGTTACAAAAGGTTCATTTATAAGACTGCTGGATGTCTGGTCACCTTTGTTAATAGCAACTTCCAAACAAAACTCTCATTGACTTCAAATGAAGCAGGAACAGACCCAAAGATAGCAAATGAACTAATAATTCAATACAGGGACTGTAAAACACACTGGGCTACCTTTCTCTGTGGCATTTGATATTGAGCTCAGCTTGGAAGCTATACAGCTATACATTTTTTACATGACTATCCAACCTCCTCAAAACTGATGCTAACTCAAAATATCCAGAAGTATCAGATAAGTACCAAGTAAACCAATTACATACTTGGCTTCTTTTACCTAAACAAACACTGTTTTGTTTGTGACTAACAAACATCTTACACTCAAAATTATTTTCTTGTTTGGTACAACACAGTAAGTGCTTCTACTAATTGTTTTTAATGAAGGGGGAAAAACTCAGCCTACGCATGTATCTCAGACAAGCATGTGAGAAGAGCCTTTACTAAGTGGTCTTCACCAGGGCTATCACCTCAACCTAAGCACAGAGTTAAGGACCTGGCTGAATTTTGATCTAGATTTGTTAAATAAGGCAAACAACAACACAAACGCCTATAATGCAGAACTAGTCCTGGCACTCCAGTTAAGTCCTTTGGTCTGCTCATTTGCTGCTTTCTGTCATGTATAGCATGTTTTCTGCTGTACGAGAGGCACATAAAACACCTCTAACTGAGATTTTCCATCTCTTTTTATCTGGTGTAAACAAATACAAAGTTATGAGTCACTGGAGAATCCACATCCTTGAGTCTGGACAAGTAAAACTACACATACAGCACATAAATAAATGCATGGGGAAAGGAAAATGAGTGATGGGGCTGTGGTTCAAAGTCATTAGTGCCATGTGTTTGGGATAACTGTGCTAGTCAGTGGTAACACCTTGAGTTAAGTTGAGCTGATAATGCCAAAATGTTCGAGAAAAAGCTTACCAAAAGGGCACGAGTTTTGTTTGTGCCATAGATTGGTATGTTTTCTTAAAAATTCTATTTGCGTTTGTACTCAGCTTTCACTATTTGAATTATAGTAGTTTTCTGGGAAGCAGAAGTGTTACTGGCATCAATACAACCTGGAAAAACTACTGTTTAGTAGAAAACAGCTTACAATATTCTCCCGTTGCAGTTTAGTAGTTAAATACTGTCTCACTGCCCTGACATGATATATGATTACATTTTCTATGCTACAGCAAAGTAAAAGACATAGCACATATTAATTGGAGAGCAAATTCATTAACAGTTTAAAAGTAACAATCAATGAGAATTGATTAGCATGCTGCTGTTCATCTGGAAACACCTTTTGATTTTCTAAGAATACACCAAAAAAAAAAAAAAAAAAGGCACTTTAGAACAGCACATTAATATTTAATTACTGCACCTTTAAGCAAAACATTCACCAAATACTGTAAGAAGTGGATTTTCAGTCATAAATTAAGTGCACAAATTGCCATTATGACTACATTCAAAAGAATAAAGGACAACATTCATTCTCGCTGCAGAGAAAATTAAGTCTCTCTAAGTATTACTTTTTGCCATGAAGTACTTCCTATCTATGTGGTATATTTTATTTCCCTTTTTGGCAACAACTGCACTGCTTTGAAATCATCCTGACAAGACTTCGGAGCTTAAGATTAACGTACCAGCTTTGTTTTGGTCAGTTTAGTGCTGTATCCAAATTAGGTTTCTTGAGGGTGCCCATAACCTGCCCATTGGCGAGTGGGCAGGACGGCGGGAGGCGCGCACCCTGCCCGCCACGGGACGCCCACCCGGGGCCCTTTGCCACAGCACCGAGGCACTGCCGGCCTTCACAATCAGACTTTGGAAGCTTTCACTAAGTAAAAGTAAGGTTTTATTATTATTATTAAATGCTGCTCGTACGCCTTTTCAAAATTACTTCTTTGAACCATTTGCCAAAACAGCTGCTCGACAATAAACTTCCAGCCCATGAGCTCAGATGCTGCAAGCCAAAGCCAGTCAGCGAAACCTACTGCCCCAAAAGGATGCAAACATGCAGCAGCAAACACCTGCAAACCCCCTGCTCCCCCGCTGAGCTCCGCTTAAATCAAGGGTGATCCCCTCACTAAGGCACTGCTCCAGACATTTGTGGGTTCAGCCCCTACGCAGGGGTGAGAGCTTCGCAACGAACGCAGGCCTGCCACTATGCAATGGCTTTGAATGCATTATTTGAAGCCCTTCCATGGAATCTATCTTCGAAACTTCAACAAGTATAGGAAAACAAACAAGAAGATCTGTGAAACCACAAGATCGCTTGCAACGCAAATGCAGACATTTCTAAGCAGGTAATTTAGCTGTAAAATGGTTGATGTCTCTTTGGACCCGTGCAGCAGCCTTATGCTAACCACGGTCATTTGGAAGTGGCTCCACAACAGTCGAAAAGCATGCTAAAAAGGTTATGAAAAGAAGTAATTGCCAGACACAGCCTAAAGCCCTAGCTTTCCAGAGTTACGTTGTTAGCTTTTCAAATTCAATATTAACTCCAATAGGCAGCTTGCAGAATGGACTAATGAACATCAGCCCTTTGCTGGAAAAAGAAAATTCCCCCAAAGTTTGTCTTCATTCAAGGAGAAAGGGGAAAGCACTCAAATGTGTGAAAGTATTACTTCTCCCATTCTTGTTTAATAGAAAAAAACTAGTAATTTGTTTGTAAAGCCATGTGTGTGGACTGAAAACTTAAGATCAGGCCAGAGATAAATGTTATGGTTTGGATATAAACTGAATATTGGTATTTATAATTGAAATGAGAACATAACCTTAACTTGTGTCACAGGCAGAAACACTGTAATTAAAAACTTTTATGGGGTAGTAACTAATTTTGTATTATATGTGCTCTTTAAAGTTCCCATTGCAATATAAAAGTTTTATTGGGCTGGATGCTATCAATGTATGCATTTATAAGCACCCGCATTATGTGGTGCAAGCTGTTCTCATCATCCTAAGGTCTTTCTAAGAAGCAGCTCAACTAATGGGACTTGCTGGTCTGATTTTGTTACACCTGCCACCGAGGAGATAAGCCAGCGCTGCCAAACGCGCACCCTACTGACAGAACCTATAGATCACCTAACGTGTTAAGAAAAAAAAACAAAAAACAAACAAACAAACAAACAAAAAAAAGCAAAACAAAACAAACAACCAAACAACAACAACAACAAAAACACAAAACAAGAAAACCCGCCTCCCGTTAATTGGTTTCAGGCAAAAGTAAATTTCAGTTCCCCAAACTCCCGAGCCGGGCACAAACTGAGGTGGCTGCCCCAGTTGATAGCAGCGCCGCACCCTCGGTAGAGCCCACCCCACGCGTGGGGGGCCCCACCCAGGCCGTGGGGGGGTGTATGTGTGTGTTGGGGGGGTGGGGGTGGGATGTGTCCGCCGGGATCGCGTCCCACCACCGGCTCCCACCTGGTCCCACCGCGGCGTCGCACCGGGGGTCCCGGGGCCGCCCGGGGCCGCCTCCCCGCGCACCGGGTGGTCCCGGTGGTGACCGCCACGGAGCGCGGCCCCGCCACGCACCCCAGCAGCCCCTCCACGCACCCCAGCAGCCCCTCCACGCACCCCAGCAGCCCCTCCACGCACCCCAGCAGCCCCCGCCAGGGCCGGGCCGAAGGGGGCCGGCGGGGAGCGGCTGCCTCCCGCAGCAAACTCCGGGACTTGGCAGAGGCAGTGGCTTATGGGGGGGGGAGGGGGAGGACAAGGCAGTGCTTCCCACCTCCAGCCGCTAATGACATTTCTAGAAATTGTTTCCCCTCCTCCTTGGCAGCCCTGTAGCCGCCGCCGGGGCGGGCAGGGACGGGGGTGCGCAGGGGGAGGTCAAGGGCATGCGGGGGGTGGGCAGGGGGGTGAATGAGCAGGAGAGAGCAGTGGAGAGGAGCTTCGAGGGGGGTGTGAGGCAATAAAGGCGGCCCGGGGGGGGAGTTGCGCGGCGAAGGAGGTGTGTGTGAAAGGGGCGTGCAGGACGGATGGGGATGAGCTACGGGAGTGTAGCCCGGGGCGGCAGTGGCGGGTGAGCACAGGGGATTATTCGGGGGGGGGGGGGGGGGTGGCCGTGAGTGCAGGAGGCCCCTCCAGACAAACACCACATTCACCTCTCGGACCCACCCTGGCAGCCAAGGGAGGGGGGAGCACCCTTCCACCTGCCCCTCCCAGGCAAGCAACGCTGGGGGAGCAAGTGGCAGGGGAGACACCTCCCGGGGTGCTGCACCCTCTCTTGCTAATGGACCCGCCGCACCCCCCACCCCCCCACCCCTTATTGCACACCCACTATTACTGCACCCCCAATTTATTACGCCCCTCCAGGTAAGTTCACACCTCCCCTAAATTATCGCACATCCCCCAGTTATCGCACACCCGCCGTTACAGCATCCCCCCCCACACACACACACACCCTCCCCGGCAGATCCTGCCCCTCCGGTTGCCGCTCCCCGCGCCCGGGGCGGGGGTGGGGGGAGGCAGAGGCACCACCACTCACCACAGAGAGTCCAGGTCCCACTCCTGAAGGAGAGCTAAGTCGAAGCTGTCCATGGTGAGCGATGTCAGCGCCGCCGCGCTGCAGCCACACGGCGTCCGGGGCGCATCTTAACTGCACCGCGGGCAGGGCGAGGGCGCGGAGCACCCCCGGAACCCCCCCGCCTTGTCCGCACACGAGCGGGCGGGGCGGACACGACTATCCACCCCCGCAACCCCCCCTCCTCCTACACCACCACCTACCAAAAAAAAAAAAAAAAAAAAAAAAAAAAAAAAAAAGCGCAAATCCCCCCCCTAAAACACACAGCCCCCCCCACACACACCCCCCCAGTGCCGCCGCTCGTTTGCAAGCGGCTCGGCTCGGCTCGGCTCGGCTCGGCTCGGCTCGGCCGCCGCGCTCCGCTCCCGCCCCGCTCCCCCGCGCCTCCTCCCGCCCCCCTGCGCGGCGGCAGCGCGGCCGAGGCGGCGCCCGCGCCCGCGCAGCGCTGGGGCGGAGATGGGGGGGGCGGGCACAACCCGCCGCTCAGGGGGGGAGTTGGTGGGAACTTGCAACCCGAGAGGTTTGCCCGGCCGAAGTTGGGTTGGATTCCCTCCCCTTCACACACTCCCCCCCCTCCCTTTTCCTCCTCCTCCTCCTCCTCCTCCTCCTCCACTCGTGCTCCCTGCCCCCCGGCCCCGTGGGGCGTGGGTCGGCCGGGTGCTCTCGGGTGGGCCCTCGGCGCGCCGGCTGGCCAGCGACTCACGCGTCGCGAAAAACAAGATGCTTGGCGGAGAAACAGGATAAATTGGGACAGGTTTATTGTGGGACAGGCCGTGGCCCCGGTCCCGGGGTGCCTGCGTGGGCCTCTTCCCCCTACCCCCCCCCCCCCCCCCCCCCCGGCTGGCTGCTTCTCAGCATTTCGGGGGGCTGGCGTTGGGTCAGTGCAGTTTCACACAGATTCCGCCTTGGATGTGTAAGAAGCTGCACCTGTGCAAATCACCGCTCCTACAGGCTCCATCTACACAGAGATCTACCTAGACCTGCACAGCAGATCAAAGATCCCTGGTGCCAAGGAGGGGGTGGAAATAAAAGTACCGATCACCCGTGCTTGCCACCCAAATAGAGTAAGACCCCTCACACTGTCCAGCCTGGGTAAAGCACTGGCTGTGATATCTGGCTGGCCAGGGGAGGCAGGCTCTCCTGATTTGTAGCTGCTGAATCACATTAAGAGAGGTTAACACACATTAAATACTTTCCAGAATATTGGGCTTTTCAGCTAAGCGGTGAGTAGCTGCCAGAGAAGTGCCATGTCATCGCAGACAGGAGAAGAAATGTGTGAAATCCTTGATGAAAAGAGGGGGGGCTGTATTCGCGTGGCGGTGCCAACACAAATATCCACAGGGCCATCCCACCCTGGGAGGTCCCTGCTCTGGGTGACCAACCCAGCCCAGTTTGCAGCTGGCGAGCGGCACCCTGTCGTGCGCATAGCCCTGGCAGCCCAGAGTAGTGCACGAGTTCAAATATTTATGCCGGCTTCTGGACCAGTTTTGTGGCTGTAGGTTATTCATTCCTGAGTTAGTTTGCTTTCGTTTAGGGTTGGTCACCCTGCGCAAGCTGCGGCCGCACCTCTGGCTGCGGCATAGGCGCACTCCAAGGGAAAGGTTTGAAAATCTGTGCGTTTGTAGGCAGCAGTCTGCCAGTCATCTGAAAATCCTGAGCCGCTCCAGAGGGGCTTCTGTTCCCTCGCACAGCCAAGGTGGTGCTGCCTCCTACTGCCAGAAGTCCCCCGACCCTGTGGATGTGGCACATCTTCAGCCTGGAGGGACCCCCGGGAGCCGGCTCCTGCCAGGTCTGCCTCCTCACCTTCCCCAGCGGGGTGGAGAAGGACGTGTCCCGGGTCGGGAAGGCTTGTGGCAACCTCTGTCTAACCAGAGTGAATGAAGATGAAAATGAAAAAAAAAAAAAAAAAAAAAAAAAAAAATCAGGCCAGTTCAGATGCCAGGCTTGGTCCAGTATTAATGGACACGTAAAACCACCTGAAAAGAGCCTTTTCTGAAAGCTGGGGTAAACTTTAGCATGGCTGAAGGTTGAGCCTGCAAAGCAGGTAACATTCTCAACAAATACATTACTTATGTGTGGAGTGAAGGGCAGCATATTTACGCTGACCTTTTAAGTCACGGCCTGTGCTGCCTCACGCTTCTTATTTTAAGGAATATTTTGCAACCCACATTGCAGTATGGCCCTGATTCTTTCCGTGAGTCCCAGCTCACTCGGGTATTTGCAGAAGTGCTTAAATCACCCTCGAAATGGTACGTACGGCAGGGAAGGCTTAGGCTGTCTTTATGAACTAAAATCACTAGAGGCAGACCCCCTTTACATCGGCACTGAAGCTGACCATAGGTCATTCTGTGAAGTGTGAGGTGGGCTACAATGCTCAAAAGTGGCAGCTCACAAACATGTGGCAACTTGGAAGTGAAATTCTGTAGGCTAAATTCATCATCCAAACGGAGATCAATAGAAAAAGTAAACAAACAGCACGAACGGCACTGAGTGAATTAAATTTCAAACAGTAATATATAATGATAGCAACATAGGCAGTATGTTTTATGTTTTTAATATGTCTTAACACATGAGATTTTTTTTTTTTTAAATTTCTTGCATGCATATTATTATTGTGGTGTTCTTTGCTTTCCTATCATGGCCATGATTCTCTTCTCATGCAGAGCAGCGAACATCAAGACTAATTGCATTGAAATTAATGTCAATTGAAAATCTCAACTGCTTTGGTTAGCTGCCAAGTGCTGGATGTTTCCCCTTTTTCCCTCCGGCCTTGACGGCATTTTTGAAACTCCTCGTATGTGAGACCTCACCTGAAGGTTAACCTTCCACCCCTAATTTTGTTTCCTCTGCGATGTGCCCAGCCAGGCAGCCTTGTGGTGTTGCTGTGCTCCTCTGCTAACTCCCCGGCGTGACACCGTCATCGGGCCCTGTGGCCTGAGCACCTTCCGTGCTCTGCAGTCTCACCCTCTCAAATCCTTCCCGCTTGCCAGCCATCGAACAGTAAGATCTCCCGCTGCTTCCTTGCTTAAAATTGTCCCATCTATCAGCAAGCGTGGTATGATCATAACCGTAACGTACAGTAAATTAACGCAGACTATTACAAAGGAGTTAAGGCCCATGCCTGAAGGAACTCCTTCCATCCTGCCTGTTGCAACCCACGGCTTCCCTGCAGCCACCAGTTCCCCCCTGTCATCCCTTGCCGTGTGACTTGTCAACATATTTGCAGCTCCTGTAGGGAGTGAAGCCTGCCTCTTTAGGAATGCATGGCGTTATATAAATAACAATATGCCATGTGCTATCTAATCCTGCTCATTGTATATATATTTTTAATGATTCATGTAGACATCACTTGCCCCCTCATTGTGCTCTTTCCTCTGTTAACAACTCTTCATTAAGAATAAGCAAGCAACTGTGCCCAGTCAAGCAGACTTTCTGAGAAGAGCTGAAGGCCTAGGAACAATATGTAATTCAAATCCATTACATAAAGAATGCATGTAACAAGAAAGCCTAACATCATCCTAAAAACTGACATTTCCCACTTCTTAGACTCCCTGTCTTGAGTGTGGCATAGCAACTGCCTGAGGAAGAGTAAAGATAATTTTAATGCAACATAAAATAAGGAGGAGGTGAGAAATACAACATTCTTAGTCAACTTCCTCTATGAAAAATATTGCCATAGTATGTCTTTGGTATAACCTACCTTTAAAACATGTACCCGCCAAGAAATTAATTCCCAGAAAATTCATAAGACCTTATCTGAATGCTTTCAAAGAACGGGAAAGGAGATCTGTAGGTGACCAGGGTAGGAAATTCCTTAGCATCAGTACAGTGTATCTCAAGAATGTGATTATCTTACCCCATTTTTGACACACCAATGTAGAGGTGACGGGACACAGTCAGACCCTGCTTCTTTGCCTGTGGATTTCGGCAGTTGCTGGGGCAGCCACACAGTGTATTGTGTGTACACAGTGTGGTTCAGTATTAGACTGTGCGTGTCACACCTTGCTGTTCCAGGGACAAAATGGAGTCTGCTCCAACTTGCCACTTCTCTCCAGTAAATCCATGCCTGCTCTTGTCTGAACAGCCTAACCCACCAGGGATTCCTTCGGTGGGCAGACTGCTACACTGCTCACAGGGAGGGCTACCAAGCACAGTCACACGTTTTTTGGTGTGCGATGTGCTTCTAGCAGTCATTGCAAGGCAGTCCTCCCAGGGCAGCTCCAGCAACTGCTCAGAGCTCTCATATAGGCTGGCACAGGACATACATGGTTCCTCAGTGAGCGTTTACACAAAGCCCAGACACAAATCTCTTCCAAAGGATGAAAAAGCCATGAAGCGTTATTTAGTCTTGCTTCAGCAACTCATCACCATACTGAGTAGTACCTCCTTCAGCTGGGCATTGGCTCCACAGGGACAAGGGATACTAAATTAGAGCTGGTGTTGCAGAATCAGTCCCTCGGTGCTTTAGGATGTGTTTTGTTTGTCCAGGGGTCTCTAAAGTAGTCTATTGAGTATACTTTATAATAGGTTTGCTATTTTAATTTAAACACAGCGTTCCACTATAATTAGATACTTACAGGCTTAAGTGCAAAGAGTTTTAAATGTAGGGGTTTTTCATAACTTCATGGTTTGCAGCAAGGCAAACCCACTGGATTATCTAGTCTAGCCACCTGTATATCACAGCCTATCCAGTTTCACTGTTTTCCCCATACTGAGCTCAGTAACTTGCAGTTTGAGCAGTTGAACAGCCCCTAGTTTAGTACTCTTAACATAATAAATTGTTCATTTGAAAATAATTTTACTCTTTAAATAGCTTTACTTTCCCTCTGTATCTGTATGTCTTCAACCTGATGTTTCATTAAGTCAATGCTAAGTTCCAGCACAACGGCTGGTGTTGCTCCAGCAGAGAGCGAAATGAGCTCTGAATTGGGTTTCCCTATTAATTTAAACTTGCAATCTGCTTTGAAATTCCTTAGGATGAAAGTTGTGTTTATGTCTGATTGCTAACATATGCCTAACCTTAATTCTGACTCAGCACGTGTAAGTGCTCCTCGATTCTATTCCCTTACATACCTCTTTATTGCATTATTATAGGCTATATTTGTTAGGTGGTTCTTCTCTAGTCACTACAGAAGATGCCAAAAATATTGTGAATGAT